ATTGATATTTCAAGTATTTTTAGGTTTACCTTTTGTTTTATTAAGTCTTGCCTTTTCGCCCCTACGTGCTATTTTGATGAATCTATAGTTTTGATCATTTATTTTTAGTGTGTGCTTGAACTTGGCTCAGCACTTACCGTGCTAGGCATTTTAATCTCTTGTTGTGGTTGAAGATAACTAGTTTGCTAGGTGGTCATGTTTCAGTTGGTAAAACTGACCTTGAGTCTTACCCACACTGAACATCCTGTTTTGGAAATTCCCACGGTTAGCAAACCCAAACATGTCTGTGATTTTTGTATTTAATACTGGAGCACTCCTTGCTGAAAGTAGTAGAAATAAGTAGTAGAAAATAAGCAGTGGAACAAGAGAGAGAAAATTAGCTGTAATAGAAGCAGCAGTTTAGGAGAATAAAGAAGAAAATTTCAGAGTCTCAGTACCTTTCGTTAATTCGCCAATCGAGTGGTAAATTCCCCAGAACACTATGACTGGGGTTTCCAATATGTTCTTAGAAACGTAACTATACTCTTTAAATCCTATCTACAGGCACCCCTTCCCGATTTTTTTTTTCTTTTTGCACTCAAGTTCTCGGAGAGATATCGGAGAATGTTGTTAAGGTATTGAATAATTACTTGTGACATCCCATTTCCTTTTTTTTCTTTTTCTTTTAAAGAATTTCTGTGCTCAATCTCCATGCGAAAACCACGGCACCTGCCAGTTGGGATTCACAAGAAAACGATATCGATGCTTATGTGCGTCTGGGTTCACTGGCCACGATTGTGAAAAAGGCAAGATTTAAAATAATAAAAATTAATTTTGTGTTTCATTGCAACACGGGGACAAAACTCTATTTATTTACAATCTTTACCTATCATGCATGTAAGGATCACATTGGGTAGTTATAACAACTTTTGTTAAAGATAATGTCACCAATTACTGCCATTCATTTGGAATGGCACCATTTGGGGACTTTTCAGGGAACAATTGCATAATTTACATACCTGGTACTATACATAGAAAAAGATATATAAGGAGTCGTGATAGCTTAAAGTTAGAGACCTTCAGTTTCAGTGAGTTAGTGTTACTACGAGGAGCCTAGAGGAGCAAGAGTCGGATAGAGTTGTTGAAATTATTTACTGGAATCGTCAGCCGTGTGGAAGACTGCCTATTAAAAGTGCTGTGGACATTGATAAGCGCCAAGGATCTTTAAAGAGAACCGTGAGTTGTGCAGTAGTGCACTGAGAATGAAGTTATAGTATTTATAGAGGGCTGTAAGTTAAGAGGATAGTTATTGTATAGGTATTAATTTCGCTCCGTAGCTAGGTTAAGAGGATAGTTATTGTATTAGTTATTGATATCGCTCCATACTACGTCAGTCAATATATTAGCTGATTTAGTATGGGTTATATCTTTCAGGCGGTTGAGAAAATACCGTAACACTACCTATCATCAAACGATTTACGAGTCGTGAACGACAAATTGTGTTCTTAATTTTAGTTTTAATTGCATTGCTGATTCTCAATC